TCTCTCTCTCTCTCTCTCTCTCTTCTCCTCATTCTCTCTTTCCCCCTCTGGCGTTCGGTCGCGCCACTAGGAAATCGATCCGCAACCGACCTGGACAAAACGGTAATCGTCCACGTCGGTTGGGCAGATTAATTTTCTTTTTAAAGCGTTTTTTGAATGACATGTATCTATATGTATATGCATATACACACCCCCATATATATACTTATATATACATATCATATATATATATATATATATATATATATATATACGGGTATCTATTAATATAAATTAGTAATGTAAGTACATGTGTGTATATACTTCTATACATATATATTATCACCTTTATATCAGTAAAGAAACTCGACGGCGAACGATCCTCGAAACACGAGGTGTCGTCGTCGATGTCGCGGCAGCAGCAGCACGCCGACATCCGAAAGGCCGACGCACCTCCTTCCGGCCTTCCTCTTCCTTCTCCTCTTCCTTCTCCTCTTCCTTCTCCTCTTCCTTCTCCTACTCCTCTAATTCGGTACTTATCGTTAAGCTGCTCCTTCGAATGGAGAATTCCGAGGCGGCACCGAACGCCGGTCCTCCTCCTCCTTCTCCTCTTCTTTCGAAGAAAAAGAAGAACAAACGAACCTCCCTCTTTTTTAGGTCCTTCTTCCTTTTCCTCTTCTTCTTCTTCTTCTTCTAATTTCTTCTTCTCCTCCTCCTCCTCCTTCTCTTTTTTCACAACCACCACCACCACTACCACCTTATCTTCCTCCTCCTTCTTCTTCTTCTTATTCTCAATCTCCAAAGGAACGTACCCGGCGCTATTCAGCAGCACCAATCGCGATCCCTTAACGATACAACTCTCTCTCTCTTCTATCACCTCGTATTTCTCTTCCATACCACACAACCACTCACCGTTCACGAACGATCCTTCCTCAACACGCGGAAATCGTCCTTCCTCGGCGCCATCTTTAAAACGCCGCAGCACCCGCCGTTATGTCAAAAACGTTCGGCCAATAATTACCCCATTAATTTCATTCAAAATAAAATAGAAATAAGAGAAATATTAAATCACTCTTATATTAAAAACGAATTAACGGAAGAACCTTTTTATTCAAATAAATAGATTCCTCGTCAATAACGCGATCTTCCTCTTTTCTTTTTTTTTATTATTTATTATTTCTTCTAATATATAATCGTATATTAATTATTTTTTCTGTGTAATTAATTTCTTTCAACAAAAATCCACTAAGGGGAAGAGACACAAATCCGAAAGGGCGCGCGAACGTCGTCGACCAGCGACGGCAAACTGCGCGAGAACGCACAACGTTCTTACCCACCCTCTCTTTGCCCTCCACCATCAACCCCCCGTCTACCTCCTCTTCTGCCCCCGTCCTTGGCCCGCGTGCGCACAGGCGCGCATCAAGCAGACGTGTGACGCGCACACGACTACCACGCGAGAAGCTGCGCGCCAGCGCACTCCCCTTCCCCCGCTTGCACCTCCTTCCTATCACTCTCTCTCTCTCTCTCTCTTTCTTTCTCTTCTTCTTCTTCTACGTAATTCCTCTTTCTCTTTCTACCTTTATAGTTCTTCGTCCCCGGATGTCTCTTTAACACGCGCGAGCTCGACGCGCGTATATCTCTTCTTCTTCCTCCTCCTGCTCCTCCTCCCCCTTCTTCTTCTTCTCTTCCTCCTCTCTTCTCATCTCTTTTCTTCTTTTCTCTTCTCTACCACTCGTCATCGTCCTTCCCCTCCTCTTCATTCTCCAAGGCACCACGTCAGCAGCGAGATAGCGACACGCGTTTCACCCTTTCCATGACTCCCAACGAACCCTCCGACACCCCTTCTATCCGGCCAAGACAAGAACGTCGACGTTCTGCGGCGTATCACCGTTTTCCACCCCCTCTTTATTCTCTCTCTCTCTCTCTTTCTCTCTTTTACTAGCTTTCCTGCTTGCTTGCTTACTTACTTGGTCGCCCATTCCTCTCCTTCTCACTCTTTCTCTCTCTCTCTCTTACCCTTCCTTCGATCGTCCTCATACGACTTTTCGTTATTCGGGACACCGATTTTCGCCGATTTTCCACCTTGCCGGACCTTCCTTCCTTCCGATCGATTTTAAGAGAGTTACACGTAGGTATCTCGTGTACAGATGATTTAACCATGAACCATGCTTCACCACGACACATGTTATATATGTTACGTCTTTCGAAGAAACGCTTGTTGTATAATACTAAAAGTATATGGACCATATGAAATCTTATTTTTCTATACGACATATTGAAATTCATATTGAAAAATGATTATAATTTCTGGTACATTTGTAAATCTAGTATGAGAAGTATTTAGAAATTGTAATTGAAAGGGTTTGACGATGATTAAGAACAGTCTTATCATTTTGGTTCGTACCGTTTAGGTGTACGTCACTCAAGTTCTCAATTAAAAATTTGTTAAATACTCCTCCGCGAACAATTAAACGTTAATTAGGGGCTAGTGATCTTATATTTTCTATTTCTCTTACGGTAAAGGTTAACCGCAAAAAGACTATTTCCGGATTTGTTATCGACAAAGGAGCTTCGAAAGCTTCTCCCGCCTTTTACGTCGAGTCAGCACGGTTGTCCGATCTCTATCTAACTGTATATAGGATTATTTATTTCGAAGGTTCTCCTGAAGAGATTACAGATTGCTGATATCGAAAGTTTTCTCTGTTCTTCTCTTTCTTTCGCTTATTTCGCGTTGTTCCTCTCTCCCTTCTTCTTATTAAACTTTTTTTCTTTATTTATTTTTTATGCTGTCTGGTAAAGAGTCAACTCACGTGCGTGTGTTCACGTATTAACCACGTAAAATAAGATTGGCGATACTCGATCGTATGGTCTATGGCTTCCCAGGTGGCTTAGAGGCTTGGCCTTGTTCGAACTAATTCACTTTGTTCCAACGGTCGACACCCCCTTCGAAAAAGAAGGTGTCCGTTGGTTTGCGAAAAAATATGTAGAATCGATCCTAACCATGACGTCCTCTCTTTTCTTTTTTTTTTTTTTCTTTTTTTATTTAATTCCTTTTTATATTCATTTCTTTTTGATTCAACAACTTCGTTGGTTCGCGTGTCGTTTATCGAACCTTGATCGATCAAGACGATCTATAATACATGCATACATTTTCATAATATTTTGATAATTGACATAACCAGAATTAGAAAAAAAAGTTGAGTTGGCATTTTTACTAGCAATTTACTAATTCTATCAGTCAATCGTATTAAGGATATATAGAAAAGGAATCGAATGAAACTTTATTTTTATATATCTAACTTCTAAGTTAATTAACTAATGTACGTATACATATACGTGTGTGTATGTATATACCCAGTAGTGTACCAAAGTATCGGCATATAGATAAAATTTAGAATAAAATAAAAATATAACTTTTTTATTATTTTTTTTTTAATAGTTTTGATCTCACAAAACGTTGTTCATTATTTTTTATTTATATACTATAAAATAATATAATGAAAATAATGGTGAATTTTTTTCTTCCTACCATATCGAGACATAATTTTATTTAATGTTATACCCACCGTTTATACGTTTAACAATAATTGAATTCGTAAAAATAATATCATTTAAATCGATCATATATAATTTGGTGCATCAAAAAATATAGTACGATTTAAAAAACAAAAGTAAGTAAATATGTAATTAATTTATGATATGCTTAATAAAAAGTAGTTATCATTTGTTCCAACCAGCTGTGTTAATCTCTTTGAAAAGTGTCGTCTACCTATATTATGTCACAAAAATGAAACGATAATACAAAATATTGTCATTTCTCCACGACGAGTATACTCTCTCTTTCTTTTTCTCTCTCTCTTTCTCTCCCAGCTAACTGATTAAATTGTATACTCGAGAAATATGAAATATTTTACAAGTAAAAAATTAAATAAAAATGTACAGAGTATATCATAGAAAAATGTAATTAGTAGGAAAAATTTGGTTAACCCCTATACATGTTGAAAATAAATAATAAGAATACGATTTGTAGATAAGAGTGGTACTATATCGCATATATAACTTCATTCCAATAATGTTTCGGATAGTAACGTCGACCTTTTCGTTGACGATAATGTCAAGCCATGCGATATCTCTTTTTTTTCAACTACAGTACACCCCTTTATTACTGTATTCCTCCTCTATCTTTGTCTATCGATAGAAATGTTTCGAGGTCGTTTATTTCGCGCAAATACTGTCTTGTAATGATGAGAAAGATACGCGTCATAAGGGTATACCGATGGTGAACGAGTACCTTTCATTCGTGCTTCTTGATTCATCAACAAGAATCTATCGGTAGAATCATTTTGTTGATACCCATGTGTTATCTTTTTCATCCTATATACATACATGTACGTTTATTTTAATATCATACATATGCTACTTCGTATATCAATGCATTAGTGTTAATATCTTTAATGAAACATTAATAAACATTTTTATGAAATAAAACTTCTTTCGGGAGGGTACTGAAAATTTTCAAACGAGACGAAAAGTGAAAGGTTTTGAGGGGAGTGTGTTATTTGAGTGGTGTTGGAGAAACGGGGAAATATCGATCGGTTAATACTTGCGGGAAACGACAGGGGAGATATGAGACAGCCACGCAGCGGGCACAAACAATTTCAAGCGCAACACAAAAAGTGCAACAATGTCATTGATAAGAATGATCGAAAAAATATTTTACTGGAACGATAAGTAAGAGAATAAAATTAAAAAAAAAAAAAAAAAAAAAAGAGGAGATGAAACCCAACTGAGGATCAAACTTTATCCATATGCTTTTTATGACGGAATTCTAATTCCTGAAACCATTTTCATAGAATAACGCGAATGTACATTAAATATTCCTCATAAATCTCTTAATAAATTTTACAAACTATTTATCTTGACGTGTTTTTTTCTTTTTTTAGAAAAATACCTCAAATCAAATGTAATTTATTTAACTACCAGGAATAAATTAAAGGAATAGTATGATGTCATAAAAGTTTATGAAATATATTTAAAAAATTATAATATAAATAATTACAATGGCATTATTAAACAGGGTATGTTTCCTTAGGGACAAGCATATATGTCCCCGAGGACATTTCCTATAACATGTCTCCGGGGACATTTTCTATGACATGTGTTTCTAAGCAAATTCCTCTGTGTACAAACAATATGTTACCAAAAAAACTCGCTTACGATATCGAACGTTTATAAATAATAAAAATATAATTCTATTAAAAGAGTTGATTTTAGAACCTATGTTAATTAGACATTTTTTACTTGTTTCGTAAAGTACTATAAACTTTTCAAACATCGAGTCCTTTTTTTTCTAATCTGTATGCAAGAACTCTTGTCCTTTTTTGCCAAGTTTTACCAACATATTTTATAGGTAAAAATAAAACAAAATGTCATAGACACATAGGATTTTAAATGTTTTATTAAAAAGTCAAAATCTTAAGGGAAAAAATGAGATATCCTGTGTGCTTTTAATATGTATGTGTATTGTGTAGTTAGGCTCATCAAAAATTTTAGATACATTTAACAATTCTTTTTTAGTAATTTTAATCGAATTATCGATATATATTTAAATATACTTATTAATTATATAAAATTCTGACGTAACCTAATATTTTTAATAATATATATTTTAATATTTATTATTAATGCACAAATATTATTATCCATTTAAATTAGATTTATCAAAAATTTTAAATTACATTTAATAATTATTTCTAAAATTATTTCAATCTATATAAGGACTAATAAAAATACACACATACATGTATTTATTATCCACACACACACACACATCCAAATATTAAAAAATAAATAAAAATTTATCTTCAGAAATATAAAACATATGTCAGCAAAAAAATAGCTTTCAATGCATTTATTTTATTTTTTATTTTTAGGAGCTTATTTTATAGCATGCGTATTTACTTTTTATTTTTTTTACGTAGTAATAATCTATATGATTGAATGTATAGAGAGAGAAATAGGCGAAGGTGAAGGTCAAAGTCAAACGAAGCAAACATCGACTATGTTTATATTGCTCTGCGAATATCAGAAAATTCGTTCTTTTTTCAGGTACACATAGAAAAACATTCTCGCACGATTGGTTAAGGTGATTAAGAGATGAGATCATACATACAACACATTATTTTCATTTTAAACGACATAAAGACAAGACGTAACGTGTTCGCTTTCTGTGTAAGAATTTATTGTTGCATAATTAAATAATATTTTGTACAAAAATTTTATATCTAATTCAATCTTATTTGATTTATAGGTTTATGCAATTGTAATCAATGGTATGAATGT